AACTATTGTGGCCTCGGCTTTTGCAGACAGGTTACATCTCAAAAGACTGGACCATTACACAAGCATTTCACGAAACCCTGTTCTCCAGATATTGACATTTGAATCACAGGATGTCTTAGAGAAATCTCAGAGTCCTGGTTGATGTCATCAAGTCCTCGAGCCAGTTATGGAAGAGACACAGCAACATTGTCTCCTATTTCACCAGCAATACGTTCTACTCTGATGGGCTTAACCATTCGTTCTGTGGTCAGTTTGTGATACACTAGCTGCCAATCGCTGATTGATAATGTCGGATTATCGTTGGTCAAGTTGGTCAGTTGCAGGAGGTTGATGGGTATGCGATGTCTCAGACTGTTGCTCGTCGGTCCATGGTTGCGGTACTGACTCGTCACTTTAATTCTGAATGGTGATGTTTCTGGTGGAGCTAGAGTTACAAGCAAATCTTGATCTGTTTCTAGTCGTCTGATCACTTCGGTTGGTAACGACATAGAAGTTAGTCCTACACGCATGTCTTTGATATCACTGTTTGGCTCTCTCAACAGAACCATGAAACTGGGGATGTCTGGGTTTGCCACGAACATTCTTCAGATCGAGCCACAAGGCTGCAAGGCCTGTAATTACGGCGGTGCTAAACTCAGAACCATTATCCGATTGGAGAACAACTGGTGCGCCATTGTTAAGGGAGATGCCAGCTATATGGAAGGTTACCTCAGTGGCTCGTTCCGATGTACTTGTAAGGGGCCGAAGGATGCAAAACTTGGTTAAATGATCTTGTTCGACCAAGATCTATTTAAAACTGTTTTGGCTCATGGACAGCATGTCGACCAGGTCAAGTTGTCCTGTGAATGCAAACTCAATCCTCAATATCGGTTTCACAACCACTTACTTGATCAAGGGTAGTATTTTCTTTTTCTGGCATTTTGGAACAATAACTTGAATAGCTCGATTTCATCTCTCAAAATGTTAGCATACTTCACAGATAGTTCCTTCATCATTCTATCTCTATCACCTTGACCAGTTGCAACATGTGCTTTCTTGATGATGTCGAATATGTTGGCGTAGTAGACTGGAAGCTCGTTGAGTGTCCAACGTTTTTTTAATACGTTTCTGCACATCAACACATTTTAAAATGTCAAACTCGCTGAGAAGAAAATATTCATGGTGTACTTAGCCTTTAAACAGTCTTTTTAAACATACTGAGTTACAAAAGTTGACTGAAATCAGTCTGACTGTGAATAAAATGTAACGAAATTTCAGTCATTTCACGAAATGACCAGGAATTTTAGTCATTTCGAGAAACGACTGACCCTCACAGTCTGGCTGCAACACACACATATATATATATA